TGAACTGCATGTTAAAATCTATTTTTTCATGATTTACCACTCCATGTACGATTCTAGTCTACATTGAACGGGATTGCTGAATTTAAGGTCTGAATTCGTGTTTTATGGTTCATTCTTGCTGCATGAAGGATGCAAAAGAGTTTCATGACTTTCCAGGTTTCCAAATCTAACTTTGCATAGAAAGAGTTTTCATCCGAAAGCTTCCGGAAATTTTCTAAGATAAGTTTAATCAGTTTAATAATAATAATAATATTAATGTGAGATGGTTCCAGCCATCGATGTGTTACTACACGCTGGAGGCACTGCGATCCTGATCGATGATAGAATCTATTGTAGCGTTCCCTACCCAAGATAATAAAATACTTAAATTCTGTTACAAATTTCCAAATATGTTAAAAATCCAATACTTAGCATGTAGTTACCAATAATACACTTGAGTCAAATAATTCCATCATCCCAAACTGCATAATTCGATTAATCCAGCACCAAGCCTGTGTGATTCTGGGTTACCTAGCATCATGCCAAAGTTATGCTAGTTTGGCACCGGATTAATCAATTTGTGCTATTCGGGTGTGTCCTGTGCATTAAAATGCTATAAACAAAAAAGTTCCCAAAACTTCCGAAAAGTCCCATACATTATTGGGTAGCTTTGGAAGGTTTCCTTATGTTTGTCTTGCCTTGTTTTTTATTCAACTTGATCTATGATGCCTTGTTCGATCTATAATCAACTATATAAAAATAAAGCTCTTTTCCACTTCGCTCGACTTTAGGGTAGATCTATAAGATCTATGGATAAGCTCAGTTCAGATATAATTGCCTTGTAATCTAATTAATTTCAATTAATTACATTTGATGCAAAAAATTTGTTTAAAAGCTTTAATATTCGTTAGTAAAGCTCAATTTTTTAAATGAAAGCTTTTGATTTGAAAAAAATGTAACCGTTATTCTTAAGTAGCAATTTTTTTTATTTTTCATGTGCTTGTTTTGATAAACTGCCAAACATTTCTACAGACTTGCTATTAATTTTTAGCTAGTATAAATATGAATAGTCAGTGTCGACTTTTGTGATGTGACAGGAAGTAAAAGAATGACCAAGAAGTAGATTAAATCACTGAAGTTCAGTGTATGGTGTGTCATGAGCAGTGTGGTCTGAACTATGTGCCTTAAAATTTAATTTAAAAAATCACTAGCCGCACGTCGTTACAGTATTGATCATGATGTACAATCAAGGTAAGCTGTGGATAATACTGGTCTTTAAAATAAAGGCACATCCTTGTTGAGTAGCTGAAAAAACAAAAGATTCTTAATAATTAAAGTTTCCTGCTTACTTTGAGTTTCAATAAAGATCGAACTTGACAGCCAGAGTTTCATCGATGCATCAATCAAATTAGGCACTAAAGACATAATTTTAACATCCAGTGAAGATCCAGCATCAATAGAAAATTCAAGTCTGTCGCAGATCCAACAAAATGTCAAGAATGAAGCAGAAGAGGAACTTTTTGTTATTTTACCGAATCGAAAAACTCAAAACCAACTCAAAATTGACGAAAATAAAGCAAAACCTGACAACTTTCAATGCCAGTTCTGCAAAAAAAAATATATAAAACGTCAAAAGCCCTTAAAAGTCATGAATGTCGTCATGAAAAGAAGTTTAAATGCAACATATGTGAGAAAAAGTATCCATTTGAAGCTTTATTGCTTAAGCACATCAAAAACATCCACAAAAATCCAGGAAGCTTCAAATGTCAAGTCTGCAATGCTGGATTTAACACAAAATAAAATTTAAATATTCACCAAAGAATTCACATTGAAAATCGTCCGAAAACATTCAAATGCAGTAAGTGTGACTTTGCAACTGACAGTAAAGCTTCATTTCAAGGACATTTAAGGACACACGAGAGGGTCATCGAAAGATGCAGCAAGTGTAACAGAATGTTAAATAAAAACAAAATTCACAACTGCAGTTTGGATTGTCAATTTTATGGTCAAAAGTTCAGACAGAGAAAAAAAATCATTTAACACATCCGTGAGCATCACGCACAAGAACTTGAAAATCCAGTCTTTGAATGTGACATTTGTAGATTAAAATTGAGTCTGAAGTCAATGATGGTGTATCACATGAAAGCACAGCATGCAGATGACTTTTGTAATAAAATGATTAAAATTAGGAACTTAAAAGGACACATTAAGAACTCGCACACTGGAATCAAGCTACCGAAAAGAAAGTTTATCAAAAAACCCAAAATATCCGAATGCCACATCTGCTCCAAAATTTTTACAACTGCTTTAAGCTTTAAAATCCACATCCGCTGCCATAACAAGACCATAAAATGTAAATTCTGCGTCAAATTATTTGGAGATCAATCAAATCTTAGAATTCACATCCGAGATTGTCATGAGAATCCAAAAAGCTTCGCTTGTCAAATTTGCAGCAGGCGATTTGATGAGAAACGATTCTTAAAGAATCATCTCAAAATTCACGATCCAAATCGCCAAAATAGATATAAATGCACGCATTGTGATATAAAGTCTGACAATAGAGCTGTATTTGAAAAACATTTGGAAGTCCATGAAAGAAGAAATGCTAAACTTGCAGCTATCAAAAATCCACACAAACGTCAGCAATGTCCAGCAGTTTTTGAACAACAGAAGATTTTGAATTGTCACATTTATAAAGTTCATCCTAAGGTTCTTCTTGAGTGTGACATTTGTGGACATAAGTCGAAGCAAAAGGGAATGATTTTTAAACATTTAAGAAGATTTCATAAAATTGGAATATGAGAATAGCTGAAATAGGCAGGGGGAGAGGGAATCAGGCCTCAGAAGACACATCAGTTCCTATTAAGTGTAAGTTTTGTGATAAAAAAGCCGCATAAAATGGAAAAACTCTAGAAAATCAAAGAAAATTTTCTAATACATTCAATAAAATTGAACTTAGCCATAAACTTGAACTTCTTTTCTTTAACCAGAATTGGCAAATGTCATTCAGCATTAGATTTCACTTGATGGCTGCCCTCATCTGTATAAAATAAAAATTAATAAGGACATGAATAACTTTGATCCAATAAACTTTTTATCTGGTGATTTATGGGATACTGCAGTTGCCAGGAGGTTCGAAACAACCTATGAACTTCAATCGACACAAATCATTCCTATGTAAGATAGAAAATTTGATTAGACTGTCAATTTACGCACATTTCAGCGAAGCTGGCCAGTAGCAAGATGTAATAAAAAAAGGCTCTTGCTTACTTACTTCGCTGGCCGTACAGATCAATTGTGATCCATGGGCTCCCTTTAATGACTCCTGAAGCTGGCTATAACGCTGACTACCGTTTGTCAATTAAGCATACCAAATGCAATACTGTCTTTGTCAACAGCTTCTTTCCAAGAGTTCTTGGGACGTCCGCGTTAAAAATAGGCTCATTGCACTATAAAATGAGACTGTTCTACTTAAAAGTGAGCAATGACATGTTCTATTGACAGCCTAAAGATGAATGAACCCAAAGTTCTAATTTACATAATAAATGTTTATCAATAAAATAAATAGATTGAATCATCTTTGAAATACCCAATAAACTTGCAATAAAAACTATCTTTGCGTAATTATTTATATTTATTAATTAAATGTGGAAATATTCGAAATTGTTCGTTCGTTTTTGACGTCTCTAATTCAAGTTTCGAAAGGGAGGATTGTGATCCTGAGATCAAGGGTGTGGAACTGAAGAATTACATTTTGATCAATTTTTGATCATTTTTGATCATTTTTTGATCATTTTTTCATCATTTTTGAACATTTTCGATCATTTTTTTGATAATTTTTGTTCTTTCATCAGTACCACACCCATGCCTAAGATTTAATGACTTTTTTCCCACATAAATCCTTTTAATCAATTCAAATCTTTTTTGAAGGGAATGGGTTGACTAATCATATTATCTTTGATGTACGTCACATGTAATCGGCTCCCAAAGGGAATTACAAGTGCCTTCATAATCACATTGCTTATCACATCTTTAACATTTCAATTAAATTAAAAAATAAATCAGAGATTGTTTACTATTAGATTGGAACATTGTAAATAACTATTGGGATACTTTTAAAGATTACGTGACGGCTTTTAATATCGACTTGTTTACTAGTTGAGTTAAGCCCACTCGTTTCGAAATTTGTAAGATTTCATTTGTTTTAAATGCTACAAGACAATCCTCCCCCTTAAAAAGCGAACGTAATTAGTAAACTACCTTAAGACAGTGTTTCTCAAGCTATTTAATCCACGGTGCAATTAATCATTTGTTTTTGTTTCCGCACCACGCTGGCAATCACTCGACACAACTAGAATTTTTTGTAGAACAGTTAAGCTCCGCAGATCATAGTAGGGAGATAGCTCTTGATTGCTTAAAGCTCTTCTTTGCCTAAAGCGCACGAGAGCCCAATACTGCTCAAAGAGCAGCTTAAACATTCGAAACCTTCTGCCAACTAGAGATATTAAGGACTTTAGCATCATATGGACTTCCTAAAGAGCGGATGGTTCTAAAAAGAAGCTAACGCAGTGTTTCTCAAATATTTCTGGTTTATGGCACATTTTTTTTTTAACTTTTTTACATATTTTTAATTTTTCGGGCACATCTGGAATTTTTTGTGTTGCGACACATAGTTTGAGAACCACTGGGCTCACGCAATAAATCAACGGACAAGCTTGACATCTTTTTGCGACAGAATTTCGGGCTTACCTTCTCTTTTATCAAGACATAATGACTTGATTATTAATGTAAATTGTTCTATTACTTTTAATAAAACTAAATAGCAAACTAGACGTGTTTTGAAAAATAAAGTAAACATAAAATACCAGGGAAATACCAGCTATACGAGTGCATATGCAGCATCTTGAGGGAAATTCAATAAGCATTTTGGATTTTTTTAAGTTTATTTATTTTCTCACACAGAAAGTTCCTTTCAAAAGTCATCGTTGGAGTATAAAAGGAGCGGAAAATTCACTCAATTGACTCAGTTTAATTCAAAGCTTGTTTAAAACACTTTAATTATAATAATATAGTTAATTCTTCTAAATACATCATTTAAATATGAAATTATTCGTAGTTATCTTTGCCTTGATTGCAACAGCCGTTGCCCGTCCACAATTCTTTAACGGTGGAGCTGCTAATGCAGCTGCTGGCTCAAGCACATTGAAGTAAGTAAACTTTAGGAGTCTCTAACCGTGACTTATTTAATCCCGAAACAATTATTTATTGAATTTTCCATCTCATTACTTCCAACAGTGGTGGTTTTCCATATCCAATATCCGGAAGTGCAAGCAATGCCGCTGCAAATTCTAATTCATTTGCTGGTGGGCCATTCAGTTTCACTGGATCATCTGCACATGCTTCAGCAAGTTCCGGCTCATCTAATTTTGTTCATCCAGGCTATGGTATGTTTGGATCAGCAAGCAATGCTGCTGCTGGAGCACAGACAGTTGGTTAAATTCGGATTTGGAAGTCATGAGACTTTTTAATTTTTATTTATTTAAAGTTGAAATTTAATAAATCGCGAATATTTTTAATTGTTTAAAATTTCTGGTTTATAATTTGATTTTAGTATGTTAATTTGGAACCAAAAGTATGAGATTTTTTCAGATTAAAGTCAATCAAGATTGAGGAAAGCCAGGGGCGTAGCCAGGAATTTGAAGAGGGGGGACAATAAATTTTTTTGTATGGAAAAATTTAAGGGGTGAGATTTTGGTGATTTTTTCATAAAAATCCTAGCAAAATAAAGAAATTTCTGTTGACGTCTGATGTCTGACCCCCCCCCCCCTGACTACGTGCCTAAAAATTAAATTGTGAATGTCAATACATCTTAGATATTAATAATAAAAAAAAGGAGGCTGTAAATGTTTCTATATTGCTGATTCAGGTAAACAAATCAACTTTAAAAGAGAAAACAAAACAATCAATAATAAAAACATCATCAACTTTAAAGCCATTCAGGAACTAAATCTCAAAAGAATAAAATTTTAAAAAATTTTGCTTTAAAAGAATTGTAAAAATGTTTTAAAAATCAGTAAAAAGTTAACTTTTGTTGCAAATTACACAAAAATGACGAGAAAGATTTCTGATTTTTTCTTTAAAAAACCATCCAAAAAGGACTTAGAAGCTGCTAATTTAGACACAAAGGTGGATGAAGATCCAAAAATTAAAGGAACTATGAAGAAAATAAGATTTAAAATTGAAGTTGAAAGTGATAAAAATTCAAATTATAGCCAAAGTTTAGTAAAATCAAGTGAAAATTCGACAGAAGTTGGAAATCAGAAATCAAAAAATAAAATTAAGTTGGAACCTCAAAGTGACTTATCAACAAACAATGAAGATCAAGAAAATGTCAAAACAGAACCAGAACATCAACTTACATTGATTTTACCGCCACAAAAATCTCAAAATCATCCAATCCAAACCAAAACAAAAGAAAATGACTCAAAAACCAGCAAATTTCAATGCAAAATCTGTCAAATGTATTTGAAAACTTTCAACTATCTTTCCAAGCATCAAAAAACACACGACAAAAAATTCCAATGCACAATTTGCGACAAGAAGTTTCCAGTTAAATATTTAATGCTTAAACATGTCAAGAATGTCCACGAGAATCCAAAAAGCTTCAAATGTGAGATCTGCAATGCTGGATTCAATCAAAAAGTAAGTTTAAATAAACATCAAATACTTCACATAAAAAATCGTCCAAAGCCATTCAAATGCGACAAGTGTGGCTATGCAACTGACTGCAAATATAGTTTGAAAGAACATTTAAAGACTCACGATAGGAAAGTCGACAGATGTGAAAAGTGCAACAAAGTTTTATTATTTAAAACCAAAATTCATGAATGTCGATTAGATTGTAAGTTTTGTGGGAAAGTTTTTAATGATTCTGCGTCGACATCCGTTCATGTCAAAAAAGTGCATGCACAAGAACTGTCTACATCCATTTATAGATGTGACATTTGTGGCGGAAAGTTTTACCGAAAGCATGCATTAAAATTTCACATGAACAAGTATCATTCAGACGGTAAACTTCATTTATTCATATGCGATTTTGATGGAAAAAGCTTTAAAAAGAAATGTCTACTTAAGGAGCACATGAGCTATCATCTTTCAATGGTTAAATGTGACTTTTGTCATAAGAAAGTTTATCAAAATAATTTAAAAAGACACATCAAAAAAGTTCATCTTAAAATTAAGAATGTTAAAAAAGTTCAGCAAAATACTGTAAAGCATGAAATGCTCGAATGTCCAATATGCTTAAAAGTTTTCTCAACTAAATCAAGTCTAAATGTTCATATCAGTAACCACAATAAGTTAAATAAATGCAATTATTGTGAAAAAAAATTTGGAACTAAGTCAAAACTGAATTGTCATATTAAGAATCAGCATGAAAATCCCAAAAGTCATGTTTGTAATATTTGCAGCAAAGCATTCAATATAGCTACAACCTTAAGGCTTCATTTGAAAACTCATGATCCAAATCGTGAAAAAAAATTCAAATGTTCACTTTGTGACTATTCAAATGATTTTAAGAACAGATTTGAAAAACATTTGAATTTTCATAAGAAGAAGGAGGCTAATATTGCAGCTATTAAAGATCCTCACAAATGCCCTCAATGTCCAGCTGTCTTGAGAAGTCAACGGATTTTAAATCGACACTTAATTGTAGTTCATCCGAAAGTAATCGTTGAATGTGACATTTGTGGGAAGCAAATGAAGACTAAGTTTCAGTTTTTGACGCACATCCAGAGCGTTCACAAATTTGGACGCTGAAAATATTTGAAATTTTATAACTTGTTGCAGTGGTTCTCAAACTGTGGACTTTGGCAGTTTGGCGCCATAACAAGAAAGGATAATTTAAAGCACTGTGCAAGGGCGTAGCCAGGAATTTGAAAATGGGGGGGGGGGGGGCAAAAAACAATTTTTCCCTCAAATCCTCCCCCCTCCTGGTTACGTACCTGGCTTTGTGGCTTCAGAACAGGGGCGTAGCCAGGGGGGGGGGGCATATAGGCCCCCCCCCTAGGAAAATCTGATAATTGTTTTATTAAGTATTTATAGAGAAGAACCAGTTAATGTAGAGGAAGTGATGAAAGAAATGTCAAAATCAGCACGAAAAATTAAATTTAATGTATGAATAATGAATTAAATATTTAAACTTATGAAGAATGAATATAGATTTAAGGATACAAAATAACAATTTTTTTAATTTTCGAAAATGGGCCCCTCCCTTAAAAATTTTCTGGCTACGCCCCTGCTTCAGAAGTTAGAGAATCTTTTACTAATTGTGTGATTTTTGATAAAATAATGAAATAAAAGTTATAATTTTAAAAAATTGATTTTCTTTTGGATTTGTTTTCATAAAAATTACAGCAAAATGACCAAATCATCCCCTAGCTACGTGCCTGACCTGGGAGTATCTTTTTAACCTGAGCAGCTTGTTGACTTACTTTTTTAAACTACCAAGGGGTAAAACTACTTGGTCATGAAACTCAGTTAAGACTTAAAAGCAGAACTCGAAGTCGATATTATTCAAGTCAACTCGTTTTTTCTCGAGTCGGCTTCATTTTTTCTGAGTGAACTCCGAGTTGAGTCGACTTCAAGTTGAATCGATAAATTTTTTTGAAAATGAAAAAGTTTACTCGGAAAAAATTGACACGACTCGAGTCGACTTCGAGCTTTGCTTAAAAGTCATGCATAATTATGTGAAGTAGGAGGGTGAATGGTGACCTCCCTGGCTACACGCTTTGGTACAATGAACCATTTTAAATTAAGAAATGATTTTAAAAAGCTTTGTAATTTCTTAAAAATACAGCAAACACAAAAATAATATAATAAAAAATTGAGAAAATATGATCAACGAGAATCTACAAGAAGTGCTTCCAACTGAGAGTAATTCTGTGCTTGTATTTGTGTACGTTTTGGCGTGGTAAGTTGATAGTCTTGTGTTGTGTAGTTGCTGCAGAGAAATAACAAAAAATAATCAAAAACCTAGCATTTTAAAGTCTACTTAGAGTCCATTTAGTGAATAATTTAAAATTATTGGAACCAAAAGTATGAGATTTTTTCAGATTAAAGTCAATTAAGATTGAGGAAAGCAAGGGGCGTAGCCAGGAATTTGAAGAGGGGGGGACAATAATTTTTTTGAATGGAGAAATTTAAGGGGGGAGATTTTGGTGATTTTTTTATAAAAATCCTAGCAAAATAAAGAAATTTCTGTTGACGTTGGGGGATTTGTCCCCCAAATTCCCCCCCCCCCTGACCACGTGCCTAAGAGTTAAATTGTGAATGTCAATTCATCTTAGATATTAATAATAAAAAAAAGGAGGCTGTAAATGTTTCTATATTGCCGATTCAGGTAAACAAATCAACTTTAAAAGAACAAACAAAACATTTAATAATAAAAACATCATCAATTTTAAAGCCATTCAGAAACTAAATCTCAAAAGAATAAAATTCTAAAAATTTTGCTTTAAAAGAATTGAAAAATCTTTTAAAAATCAGTCGAAACTTAACTTTTGTTGCAAATTAAAGCAAAAATGACGAGAAAGATTTCTGATTTTTTCTTTAAAAAACCATCCAAAAAGGACCTAAAAGCTGCAAATTTAGACACAACAGCGGATCTAGATCCAAAAATTAACGGAACTATGAAGAAAATAAAATTTAAAATTGAAGTTGAAAGTGATAAAAATTCAAATTATAGCCAAAGTTTAGTAAAATCAAGTGAAAATTCGACAGAAGTTGGAAATCAGAAATCAATAAGTGAAATTGAGTTGGAACCTCAAAGTGACTTATCAACAAACAATGAAGATCAAGAAAATGTCAAAACAGAACCAGAACATCAACTTACATTGATTTTACCGCCACAAAAATCTCAAAATCATCCAATCCAAACCAAAACAAAAGAAAATGACTCAAAAACCAGCAAATTTCAATGCAAAATCTGTCAAATGTATTTGAAAACTTTCAACTATCTTTCCAAGCATCAAAAAACACACGACAAAAAATTCCAATGCACAATTTGCGACAAGAAGTTTCCAGTTAAATATTTAATGCTTAAACATGTCAAGAATGTCCACGAGAATCCAAAAAGCTTCAAATGTGAGATCTGCAATGCTGGATTCAATCAAAAAGTAAGTTTAAATAAACATCAAATACTTCACATAAAAAATCGTCCAAAGCCATTCAAATGCGACAAGTGTGGCTATGCAACTGACTGCAAATATAGTTTGAAAGAACATTTAAAGACTCACGATAGGAAAGTCGACAGATGTGAAAAGTGCAACAAAGTTTTATTATTTAAAACCAAAATTCATGAATGTCGATTAGATTGTAAGTTTTGTGGGAAAGTTTTTAATGATTCTGCGTCGACATCCGTTCATGTCAAAAAAGTGCATGCACAAGAACTGTCTACATCCATTTATAGATGTGACATTTGTGGCGGAAAGTTTTACCACAAGCATGCATTAAAATTTCACATGAACAAATATCATTCAGACGGTAAACTTCATTTATTCATATGCGATTTTGATGGAAAAAGCTTTAAAAAGAAATGTCTACTTAAGGAGCACATGAGCTATCATCTTTCAATGGTTAAATGTGACTTTTGTCATAAGAAAGTTTATCAAAATAATTTAAAAAGACACATCAAAAAAGTTCATCTTAAAATTAAGAATGTTAAAAAAGTTCAGCAAAATACTGTAAAGCATGAAATGCTCGAATGTCCAATATGCTTAAAAGTTTTCTCAACTAAATCAAGTCTAAATGTTCATATCAGTAACCACAATAAGTTAAATAAATGCAATTATTGTGAAAAAAAATTTGGAACTAAGTCAAAACTGAATTGTCATATTAAGAATCAGCATGAAAATCCCAAAAGTCATGTTTGTAATATTTGCAGCAAAGCATTCAATATAGCTACAACCTTAAGGCTTCATTTGAAAACTCATGATCCAAATCGTGAAAAAAAATTCAAATGTTCACTTTGTGACTATTCAAATGATTTTAAGAACAGATTTGAAAAACATTTGAATTTTCATAAGAAGAAGGAGGCTAATATTGCAGCTATTAAAGATCCTCACAAATGCCCTCAATGTCCAGCTGTCTTGAGAAGTCAACGGATTTTAAATCGACACTTAATTGTAGTTCATCCGAAAGTAATCGTTGAATGTGACATTTGTGGGAAGCAAATGAAGACTAAGTTTCAGTTTTTGACGCACATCCAGAGCGTTCACAAATTTGGACGCTGAAAATATTTGAAATTTTATAACTTGTTGCAGTGGTTCTCAAACTGTGGACTTTGGCAGTTTGGCGCCATAACAAGAAAGGATAATTTAAAGCACTGTGCAAGGGCGTAGCCAGGAATTTGAAAATGGGGGGGGGGGGGGGGCAAAAAACAATTTTTCCCTCAAATCCCCCCCCCTCCTGGTTACGTACCTGGCTTTGTGGCTTCAGAACAGGGGCGTAGCCAGGGGGGGGGGGCATATAGGCCCCCCCCCTAGGAAAATCTGATAATTGTTTTATTAAGTATTTATAGAGAAGAACCAGTTAATGTAGAGGAAGTGATGAAAGAAATGTCAAAATCAGCACGAAAAATTAAATTTAATGTATGAATAATGAATTAAATATTTAAACTTATGAAGAATGAATATAGATTTAAGGATACAAAATAACAATTTTTTTAATTTTCGAAAATGGGCCCCTCCCTTAAAAATTTTCTGGCTACGCCCCTGCTTCAGAAGTTAGAGAATCTTTTACTAATTGTGTGATTTTTGATAAAATAATGAAATAAAAGTTATAATTTTAAAAAATTGATTTTCTTTTGGATTTGTTTTCATAAAAATTACAGCAAAATGACCAAATCATCCCCTAGCTACGTGCCTGACCTGGGAGTATCTTTTTAACCTGAGCAGCTTGTTGACTTACTTTTTTAAACTACCAAGGGGTAAAACTACTTGGTCATGAAACTCAGTTAAGACTTAAAAGCAGAGCTAGAAGTCGATATTATTCAAGTCAACTCGTTTTTTCTCGAGTCGGCTTCATTTTTTCTGAGTGAACTCCGAGTTGAGTCGACTTCAAGTTGAATCGATAAATTTTTTTGAAAATGAAAAAGTTTACTCGGAAAAAATTGACACGACTCGAGTCGACTTCGAGCTTTGCTTCAAAGTCATGCATAATATTGTGAAGTAGGAGGGTGAATGGTGACCCCCTTTGCTACGTGCTTCGGTTAATTGTCTCATTTCAAATTAAGAAATGTGTTTAAAAAGCTTTTTAATTTCTTAAAAAAAAAACTTTTTAAAAAACCACGTTTTTACCCGTGGACTAAAAAGGAGAAAATAACTTTTTTAATTGGGTTCAAAGGATATTGGTTTGAAAATTTGAGATTGATATTAAAGTTTTATACTAAAGTCATGACCATACATGAATTGCAAATTTGTTCACTTCGACCATATTGTATAGTTCTACATCTTAAAACGTGGGCGCATTTATATAAAATTTAAGCTTTCCTAATATACAATATTAATGAATGCGCCCACGTTTTAAGATGTAGAACTATACAATATGGTCGAAGTGAACAAATTTGCAATTCATGTATGGTCATGACTTTAGTATAAAACTTTAATATCAATCTCAAATTTTCAAACCAATATCCTTTGAACCCAATTAAAAAAGTTATTTTCTCCTTTTTAGTCCACGGGTAAAAACGTGGTTTTTTAAAAAGTTTTTTTTATGAAGTATTTATTTTCTACTTTTTAGTTTTAAAGAATTATTTAAAGTATCCATCGATCAGCATAAGTTTGTAAACTAGAGCAAAACCATTGAAAGTCTCAACGATCAGCTGTGCTTCGCACAGCAAAAGTTTGTAAACTAGAGCAAAACCATTGAAAGTCTCAACGATCAGCTGTGCTTCGCACAGCATAAGTTTGTAAACTAGACTCATACCATAGAAAGTCTTCATCGATCAGCTGTGCTTCGCACAGCATAAGTTTGTAAACTAGAATTTAACCGTAGAAAGTCTTCATCGATCAGCTGTGCTTCGCACAGCATAAGTTTGTAAACTAGACTCATACCATAGAAAGTCTTCATCGATCAGCTGTGCTTCGCACAGCATAAGTTTGTAAACTAGACTCATACCATAGAAAGTCTTCATCGATCAGCTGTGCTTCGCACAGCATAAGTTTGTAAACTAGAATTTAACCGTAGAAAGTCTTCATCGATCAGCTGTGCTATCGCAAAGCATAAGTTTGTAAACTAGAGCAAAACCATTGAAAGTCTCAACGATCAGCTGTGCTTCGCACAGCATAAGTTTGTAAACTAGACTCATACCATAGAAAGTCTTCATCGATCAGCTGTGCTTCGCACAGCATAAGTTTGTAAACTAGAATTTAACCGTAGAAAGTCTTCATCGATCAGCTGTGCTTCGCACAGCATAAGTTTGTAAACTAGACTCATACCATAGAAAGTCTTCATCGATCAGCTGTGCTTCGCACAGCATAAGTTTGTAAACTAGACTCATACCATAGAAAGTCTTCATCGATCAGCTGTGCTTTCGCACAGCATAAGTTTGTAAACTAGAGCAAAACCATTGAAAGTCTCAACGATCAGCTGTGCTTCGCACAGCATAAGTTTGTAAACTAGAACATAACCATTGAAAGTCTCCATCGATCAGCTGTGCTTCGCACAGCATTAGTTTGTAAACTAGAATCAAACCATTGAAAGTCGTGTAACGTATTTTTTGTCATTCAAATTATAACGGCTTTTTGAAATATAAAATTATTGAAAGTTGTTCATATGTTATGTAAAAATACGCTAAGCCTTTAAGAGTAAAAAATTTAATTTAATTGTACTATAATTAAGCATTTTTAAGTTTCCGAAATGCTTGAATATTGTATTGTCACCGGAAAGAAAAGTGCATGCAAAATTTCAGCTCGATTGGAGCAGTAGAAGTGGTCGAAATATTGATCGCAAGATTTGAAATTTTTTGCAAACAAACAAACAAACAAACAAACAAGAAAGCAAGTTAAGAAAAACGTGGTAAAAATACACCAACCACAAATATTATTTAAAAAAATTGAGAAAATATGATCAATGAGAATCTACAAGAAGTGCTTCCAACTGAGAGTAATTCTGTGCTTGTATTTGTGTATATTTTGGCGTGGTAAGTTGATAGTCTTGTGTTGTGTAGTTGCTGCAGAGAAATAACAAAAAATAATCAAAAACCTAGAATTTTAGAGTCTAATTAGAGTCTATTTAGTGAATAATTTAAAATCAAGTAAGTAAATTCCCAAAAATATTCAAAATATTTCACAAAAGTGACAAAATTAGCTATAAAATCAAAAATATTAAATGCCAACAAAAAACATTCAAAATCATTGGATCGCCCTAAAAACAGCAAATGAGAGAAAATTGAGAGAATTTTTTTCAAAAATCTTCTCTGTTTTTATGGAATTTTTGCGACAATTTCTCTTGATCGCGCCTAAGTTGTCATTGTGTTAGTGACAAAAGCTCATCAAGTCTTGATCAAATTACCAAAATCATAATAAATAATCAATTTCTCAATTTTCAGCCTTTAATCAACTCAAATCATTTGACCAACATGACACACATCACCAAAACATCGTGGATCATCAGCATATTCAATGTCTGTGCCTGCACAATTTTCTTTGTATTCAAATTTATGGTGTTCTATGGCTACATGAACATTAGCACAAATGGAGTTCAAGATCGTCATAAAATTGTGTCAAGTTTGCCGTTCAATCCAAATGAGACGAATTTTTTTAGTAAGTTTGTGTTTTTTGGGGGCATTTTGGAGCCTCTGTTGGATCAGCACAAGTCGATAAGTCGAATAGACATTCGGCGACAAGTTAACGTGACTCTAGAATGTTGATGGATTTTAATCAATCCAGCACTAGTCTAGAGTGACGCTGGCTTAAAGCAGGATTAACCGACTTATGCGATTCGGGCTCATCAACTTCAAGTTCTGGCTGAATTTCTCAATAAGTTATTAATATCAATTTTATTTTGCATACCATTGCAGCTGCTGATGTTGACTTTATATTCGAAATTGGAGCTTACTTCCTTGGAATCTTCTTCAATGCATTGCTGCCACTTGGAGTAAATACAGCTTATGAGAAGGTAGGTTTAATAGAACTTAAATCCCAACTAAGACTAATCGACATTCCCCAATTTTTAGGACACATTCTTCTTCTTCCCTGGATACTACTTCATATCAGTCTGGCTGACAACAGTCACTCTAGTTCAAGGCATCAGATTCGCTCTCTTACCATTCATTTTATTTGCTGTCATTAACTTTATCTTTATGATTGTTGTTGGTGCGATGCACAAGTACATTTTGAAGGAAAAGAGAGGAGTTGGACGATATAATTCGAGAATTTAAGGATTATTTGTCGAAATTAACTGTTAAGATTATTATTAAAGTACTAAGGCGTACCGTCCACAAATATAAATTATTTTTGATATTATTTTTTATTGAAAAATTTTATAAACTTAATTAAAAATAAATTTTTTGAATTTAAAGTTTTAAATTTCACGTCTTTTTTTGCTTTAATTTTAACAAATTTTCTAAGAAAATTTCTCATAGATTCCTCACAATAGCCATTCCTACTTAGAATATTCAGCGATAGCACTAGTCACAGATCCTCTCAATTGCTTAATAACAGCTCCTTGATCATCAGCCTTGATAACTCCAGTTCCAGACACAATCCAATTAGCACCAGCCTTAGCACAGCAGTCAATTGTATTCAGTGCAACTCCACCATCAACTTCAATATTCAAAGTCGGATAATTATCCCTCAAATGCTTAACCTTTGGCATCATATCCTCCATAAACTTCTGTCCACCAAATCCAGGCTCAACTGTCATGATCAGCACCAAATCAGCCATCTCAATGTACTTCTCGACAACATCAACTGCTGTTTTTGGCTTTATTGCGAGTCCAACTTTCATTCCTGCTTCACGAACCTTACGACAAACGGCACTGACATCATCGACTGGTTCGATATGAAATGTGTATTGATCGACACCGGCATCAGCCATGTCTGAGATCCATTGTTCTGGATTCGAGACCATCATGTGGGTTTCGAAGAAGGCTTCCTATAATAAATTTGAGTTTTTTTGAGTGATTTTTGGAATTATTTAAGAAGCAGCATGCAGATTGACATGACTAAGAGTGTTTTTTTCGGAATCTAGGATGTATTTCAGTTCCTGTAAAGCCTATGAACCTGTTTAATGGCAAGGTTCTATCATTGTTGAGTGTTTAGAGGCTTAAAACTTAGAAGACATGCTTTTTGGATCAAACTGTACAATTAATTAGATCACTATGACTAAAAGCCTAGCTAAATCATATCCTAGACCCAAACTGTCACCAAATATAGACAAATTAAGCCGAATTCAGCTTGTCCTTCTCTTAAGCGATCAATCTGCACATGCTAGTAAAGCAACTCACCTTAATCTTGTTCCTCAAGCACTTGACAATTGGATGTCCGAATGTGAGATTAGGAACAAAATGTCCGTCCATGACATCGAGATGCTACAAATTAATCAAACAATATTAATTAAAACTATCAAGTCAAAGCTACATCTTATCATCTATGAAACCACAAAGTTGACCTCCTTTACTTACCAAATAATCAGCTCCATTATCAAGTAATTTCTGTGACTCGTCAGCTAGCTGCGACAAGTCGGCATTGAGAATTGAAGGACCGATTTTAGCTTGAAGTGACATTCTCGAGGCTTTGAACTTTTGTTTTTAGAAAGGCACGTGAAATAGCTTTGTTCAATAAAATGATGTCTTTTGTGGATTATTTGAGTCTGTCAAATCGAACAATTGCTGAATAATTGACTTGATGCTTACTTGTTGCTGACAGAAAGTTTCTAAATTATGAAAATCTAGCGAAATTTTATAAAAACATGAAAAGAACTTTTTGATGTGAAATTGTAAACTAAATTAAATGTTTTGCACTAACACAGATGAAGCAAGCATGCTGATGCTTTTGTTTTATTTTTCCTTAGAGTTCTGCATTCTTGTTGAGCTTCTGTAATTTTAAATATTTTCTATCCGTTATAGAATTGTTATAGTTGAAGGTGCTCAAAGTGGATCTTGGGGGAACCCAGGGGCGTAGTCAAGAATTTGAGAGGGGGACAAAAAAAAATTTTAAATGGAAAATTCAGAAGGAGGGATTTTTATGATTTTTTCATAAAACTCCTAGCAAAATGAAGAAATTTCCGTTAACGTTGGGGAATTTGCCCCCAAGTGCCCCCCCCCCCTTCTGGTTACGCGCCTTGAGATTTGAATGAGAATAATTTAAAAATGTAATAAAATGTCACAAAAATTCGCTTGAAGTTTAATATTGTTGAAACTTATAAGGATGATAAGACAAGACAGCCAAATACACTCCATAAAATGACAAGCTTAACATTTAAAGACTTCTTTGGGCTCTTATTTGGAGTTATAGTATTTTGTATATCAACAGTAGCTGCAGTAGCTGCAGGAGTTGTGGTTATTAAACTTGAATCTTCTGTAGGACTTGGAACAATCCCAATTGCTATCAAATCATTCTCAAATTGAACTAAATCTTTAACACAAATATTAGTTTTGTTGAAAATTTGAAAGTTTTTTGGACATTTTTCAGCACATTCACGGTCAAGTGGATCAAAATATTGCGTTTTCTCGTCATCAGAATTTTCTGGATCATTAATAATTAAAATTGGACTTCTTCTCTTGTCAGGATCCTGGAAACAAATTGGAATTAAATCTAATTTATAATGATTTTTAAAAAATATTCAAATTTCCTACCTTACAGTTCTTTACACCAGTTGGTTCAATGTTAATTCTTCCACAAACATGATCGCAATCATCTCTTGGATTGGTTAAAATATCAAGTGGAATATGTTTATAATCAGCTACGGTTCCTGAACACAGAATTGTAATCTGTGGGAAAAAAATAATTAAAAATTTGTTAAAAATATATTCACAAAAATTGAAAATTTTGTGTGAATATGAAAAATAGTAAAATGATAGTTTTGATTACTTACTGATAAAATTGAAAGAATTATTGAAGATGTCATCTCAACTCCTGTCGAATAAATGAAACAATTTTGCCAATTTTACAACTTTTAAGGAAATGTATTAAACTTTTTATTTTGATCATAATAAGTAATACATCTTACTGGATGAAGTCAGTAAAAATCATTGCTCTCTTCAAACCAAACCGGCTAAGTTATAAGTTAAAGTTTTTGTTTGATTCCCCCAAAAAATGCATAATCTTCTTTGATAAGATAAATTCAACTTTGATTTCCTTCCAACAATTTAATCAGCTCCCAAAAAAAAAACATAAACAATCGCTCGCAGTTTTAGATATGATAAAGAAATTCGACACATTTTTTGTTTCTTTTCACACATTTACGCTCAGTTTTTATTTATTCGTCACGCGAGACAGCAGCAAAATAAAAATGCTCAGTTCATTGAGGAAATTTGGCTCTCTTAATCCATATGTGCTTAAAAGGCAGTCAGCTGTTTTGAGGTCAATATTAATTGAATTTAAAAAAAATTTATAAAAAACAATTGAATTTTTAAACTTTTTTTGAAACTCTATTTTAATTTAAAAAATGTGAAAAATATTCAAAACCCTAAAACACAATCAAAAAAATTAAAAAAATTGCAAAATCATTTAAAATTTTAAAAAATTTTTAAAAAAAATAAAAAATTGAAAAAAAAATTACAAAATTGAAAAAAAATTATAAAAAAAATTTAAAAACTTAAAAACTCCAAAAAAAAACTTTTAAAAAATTAAAAACATCAAAAATAATAAAAAGTCGTTCAAAAAGTAAACTTTGGAACTTGATTAAATCCATAAGTCAAGAAAAGAAATAGAAAAAAAACCTGTGAGACACAGATAAAGACTGAATGTCTACGTAACGTCTCAAAGGTCGATTTAGCGTATTTCTTTGGTATTTTCACATCTACTCGCTGATTTTGCTTGCGTTTAAAGTCGAACATTCCTGAAATTGTGCATAAGTGGCGTAGCAATAAGCCAGGTGACCAGCTGTGCTGTTTTCAGCAGGACAGTCCCGGTTTTCTAGAGAATGATTTGCCTAAAGTCACTTATATCGCTTTTCTTACAAAAAAAAACTGTAAATACAAGTCTGTACTGACTTTTCATAGCTTAAATCAGGACAACACCCTCTTTTACAGCCTCGAAGGAAGCAATTGTGTTTATCATCTAGAATAGTGGTTCTCAAACTGTGTGTCGCGGTACACTGTTTGCCGTCATGAATTCAAGCTAGTCCTAGCGATATTTTGTCATATTTTATGGCTTCAAAAAAGTTCATGAAAATCATTCAGGTCTGCTGCAAAAGAATTTAAGCACATATGTGTGCCGAGGACCAAAAAAACTGCTCTAGAGCCAAATCATAGCCTCGGCAGCTCTCTTTGCTCCACATCTGCATGATAATAATTTTTCCATTATGAAATAAATTTGCAAATTGTCAATTGACATTGAATAAGTAGACTAATGACCAGACTTGCCAATTCTTGTAGGACATTGACCTAATTTGATCATTTTCGCAACTAAATAATAATAATAATAATAAAGTAAACAAAAGTTTTTTTTTTATTTTCAGGCTTTTCGCATCACAACCAACCAAAAATTCACCAGAAAATGGATCAAAAAATAAAAATCCATCATTTGTTCACAACATTTTTAGAGGACAACTCGAGCATTCTGAACTGTTTCCATATCCAATGCCTCTGAATGATGAGCAGCTTGAGACAATTCAAGCATTGATACCTCCGATGGAGAATTTCTTTTTGAATGTTAATAAGCCAGAGATTAGTGATCAGAAAGGGGTGAGTTGGATTGAGATGGGGTTTTGGGGCTACTCGGAGGACTCGTTGTGCTAATTTATCCCTCCACATTCTTTAGTCGACTGAACAAACTTAACTTTAGCATTGTAAAATGTCAAACTTTTTAGGAATTCGATCCGAAAGTCATCGACGCCCTTTGGGAACTTGGTGGATTTGGCATTGCAGTTCCTGAAAAATATGGTGGTCTTGGACTTAATTACACTCAATTAGGTCGACTTACAGATGCAGTTGGTGGAAACGATTTGGCTATTGCAACAATGCTTGGTGCACATCAGTCTATTGGATACAAGGTTAGTGTTATTAGTAACTGTAATTTATAATCTATAATCTGTAATATTTAATCTCAGGGCATCCTTCTCTACGGAACAGAAGAGCAGAAAGCCAAATATCTCCCGCAAGTCTCAAGTGGAAAAGTCTTCGCAGCTTTTGCACTTACAGAGCCATCAGCAGGCAGTGATGCAGCAGCAATTAAAACCAGAGCAGTTAAATCATCTGATGGCAAGCACTACATCCTTAATGGCTCTAAAATTTGGATTACAAATGGCGGATTTGCTGAAATCATGACAGTCTTTGCACGAACTGAAATTGTTGACGAAAAAGGAGTAAAGAAGGACAAACTTACTGCATTTGTTGTTGAGAGAGGATTCGGTGGAGTTACAAGTGGTCCAGCAGAGAAAAAGTTGGGAATTAAGGCATCAAATACGACTGAAGTGTACTTTGAGGATGTAAAAGTTCCAGTAGAAAATGTTCTTGGAAATGTTGGTGATGGATTTAAAGTTGCTGTAAATGTGCTAAACAATGGACGATTTGGAATGGGAATGGCATTAGGTGAGATTAAAGATTGTCTACGTTTTAAGTAGGTAGGAACTAGGAGTTACTTAGTGGTTTGTGTCCATGATAATAGAACTTAGTGGTTTGTGTCCAGGATAGTAGATTTTTAGCGATTTTTGTCCAAGATAGTTGAACTTAGTGGTTTGTGTCCAAGATAATAGAACTTAGTGGTTTGTGTCCATGGTAGTAAATCTTAGTGGTTTGTGTCCAAGATAGTAGAACTTAGTGGTTCGTGTCCAAGAAAGAAGATGTTTAGTGGTTTGTATCCAAGATAGTAGAACTTAGTGGTTCGTGTCCAAATTAATAAAACTTAGTGGCTTGTGTCCATGATAGTAAATCTTAGTGGTTTGTGTCCAAGACAGTAGAACTTAGTGGTTCGTGTCCAAGATAGTAGAACTTAGTGGTTTGTGTCCAAGACAGTAGAACTTAGTGGTTCATGTCCAAGATAATAAAACTTAGTGGTTTGTGTCCAAGATAGAAGATGTTTAGTGGCTTGTGTCCAAGATATTAGATCTTAGTGGTTCGCGTCCAAGCTTATTACAACTTATTGATTTGTGACTAGAATAATCTTAACTCAGTGGTTTGTTTCTTTATCATCAAAATATTCTCCAATTCTTTCAGGTGGAACAATGAGGATGTGCATACAACGTGCTACTGATCATGTCACTCAACGTGAAACCTTTGGCAATAAACTCGAGACCTACGGCGGTGTTCAAGAAAAAATAGCAAGAATGTCAATGCTTCAATATGTCAACCAATCGATAGCTTACATGCTCTCTGGTAATATGGATCTTGGATCTAATGATTTCCACCTCGAAGCTGCCATTTCAAAAGTATTTGCATCCGATAGTGCTTGGTATATCTGTGATGAAACAATTCAGCTACTTGGTGGAATGGGATTCATGACTGACACTGGTGTTGAGAGATTTTTGAGAGATTTGAGGATATACAGGATATATGAAGGAGCTAATGACATTTTAAAGCTTTTTGTTGCACTGACTGGCATGCAGTATGCTGGAAATCATTTAAAGGAAGTACAAAAAGCTCTCAAAAATCCAATTGGCAATCTTGGGTTGATTTTCAAGGAAGCATCAAAGAAATATGGATATGGAGGTGTAGACATGACAGCACTAGCGCATCCATCACTCAATTCATCAGCTAAACTTTGTGGTGAAAGCATTGATGCCTTTGGACGAGCTGTGACGTCATTACTTATTAAATATGGCAAAAATATTGTCCACGAGCAGTTCCATCTCAATAGAATAGCAGAATCAGCAATTGATATCCATGCCATGGCTTGTGTGCTGTCCAGAGCATCAACATCTATCAAATTAAACTTACCGTCAGCTGATCATGAGAGACTTATGGTTGATGCTTGGTGTGTTGAGGCACATGATCGAGTCCAAGTAAATATGAGAAAGATTCAAAGCTCAGATTTTAATGAAAATTTCAAAAGAATGGCACAAATTTCAAAGAATGCTTGCGAAGCTAAGGATGTCGTGCAGAAGCATCCAGTTGGATTTTAAAAAAAAACTTTAAATATTTTTTATTTAACAAAAAAAGAATAAAAAAAAAATTTAAGATTGAACCTTAGAAGCTACTCTGTTATACATTTCATTAAATATATCAATAACTTCAGGAATGCCTGCATTTATGCTCTTCATATACTCAACAGCATTTAAGTCTGTTCGTTCTATATTCTTGTCCAACAATTCTTTTAACAATTTTTCTTTGCGGTCAAAAAGTTTCTCTAAATATTCCGTATAGTCCTTAAACGTAAACTTATCACAATATTTAAAAGCATAAAGCAAAAATTCATTCGAACTTAAAATCATTTGCTGCATTTCAGTCTCACTCATCCTTGTCGTGTACATTTCAAGGACATAATTCATAAATCTTCGATCTCTTTGCGAGTACATTAATGTTAAATGCAGAATGTTAAGCTTTGAAAAGTCATAAATTTGATTAAGATATCCCAACTTAATATAGAATAAGAACTTTCCAGACGAATCGTGATGCCTCAAAATGTCCTTTTGTTGCTCTAAAGTCGTGTGATTGACGAAAAAGTTCCACAAATTTTCGAGAGTAAATTTATGAAGTGTGGCTTTTTGGAGGAGATTCTTATTCACAAATATCTCAAAAATCTCAGAATCAGTTAATGTCTTTCCAATTTTATCAATCAAGTAATGCAAGACATTTTCATATTCTGTGAATTTTGCATTGTAAAAGTTTCTTGTGAACCAGAAAATTGAGTCACCGAGGATATCCTTAGTCTCTGGAGGGGACAGAAGATGTCCATGGTTGGTCCATAAAGAGCTGTAGGATGAGATGTTGAAGGTACTAAAGTGTCGATAGTTCCTTGGATTCGAGAGAGCAATAAAAAGCTCCTTCTGCTCTGGAATTGTCAGGTTGTCTTTCATTGTATCGAATAAAGTAAAGAAAAAATTTTGTGGAATAGGATTGTCTGGGATTACATACTCATCGTGTGTTTTCGAGAAGTTAAAAAACTTAAAAAAGTACAGACCGAATAAAATAACTCCCCTTTGATTCCTTCCGCTTGTAAACTTCTGGAATTCCCTATCATTAAGGTACTTCCTTGAAATGTTCTTCATCTCATCAAACTTAATTGTTGTTGGTCTATAAACAGGATTTAAGCTTGCTGTACCAAGTGTCTCTGGCTCATTCAACTGTATCAAGTAATGAAACAAGTCACGATCTTTTTGGAAGAATCCCAACATCCAGTCAAACACAATCGGTGTTCTAGTCTCCAAAAAGTCAAACAAAAATGATTTAAATTTAGTTTTAAGTAGTTTTGTGATGACTGGATGGAAGTTCTTAACCTGACTTTTTTGTTGAGCCATAATATAATGTTTCATAAACTCAGCTACAACTGTCATACCTGCGTACCTCTTATAAGCATAAAATAGAACCTCAAGTCTTAGAATTGCTTCCTCAACCTTAAGATCTCCTTCAACATCGTAAATGCTGTCAATAAAATATTTGGCAATAAAAAATTCAGCAAAAGTTTTGTGTGAAAATGCAAATTGCGTCTCATTATTGACATACAGGATGCCCATCCTTGATATTTCCTCAAATGGAAGAATGTCTGGAATTTTTGTTTGCATGACATCCAATTTTTTAACATTAATAAAGTCAATGTCGAGTTGCATGGAAAACTTTTGGTAAATCGCGATAATGTCAAATTTGGAACTGCCTGTAAAGACAGATTTGGATAGATTCTTGGCAAAGTCGCTCTTTTCCTGCCAAATTTTGACCTTTTGATCCACAAAACATTTGTAAATTTCGAAAAGATTTTCTGATTCGAGGAGCTTCGGTTGGTCGTGGATTTCGGCAATCATTTTAAGCATTAATGGAGTGTTAAAGTCAAGACGAAGGGAAATGTTCATGACTTTACCTATCAGGTTCTCTTTAGAGCCTGACACATTCTTGGATATGAAAAATTTTGACAAAAATTCTTCCTGTTCTGATTTTGTAAATGGAACAAGTTGGTAAGCCTTCATTTGGAACAAATCTTGAAGAAAGTCAGAGTAGAGTGGTCTGGTGCAGACATATTGGACATTTTGAGTATTGCTGTGGATATTCCGTAGCAAATTACTTACAAATTCTTCATAAGTTGGGGAAATTTCATCAAAGCCATTCCAAAGCAAAACAACATTTCCGGACCTAAAGAACTCCTGGAAAATTTTTAATTCAAAGGAGCTTTTGGATTTAAGTTTAAGAATGTCAATTATTAGACCTTCAACATCAATTAACTTCTCATGTGCCCTATATAACTCAACATGATCCTTCAAATCGACATAAGATACCCATTTGGTCGGGAACTTTCTTTTAATGACCGCAGCTAAATGTTCAAAAGTCACAGTCTTGCCAGCACCAGCTTCAGATGATAATATGAAGAACTTCCTTCTCTCTGTCCTGTCAATCACGTCCACAAACTCATCCCTAGTGTTTGTATATAGTTCAGTCTGTAAAGTCTTCTCCTGACCCTCAAAAATGAACCTCCTTTCTACATAAAAGTCCGTCTTGTTCTCAATCATGTTCCCTATTGCCAATTCCTTTCCATCCAACACATCCACAATCTCCTTAGACGTTAAAAAGTTAAAGACATCCGGACTTATTTCTGCCAACTTTTCAAACTTTAAACTTTCATTTTGGAATGTAAAATTTGAGGTTAAAAATTTTTGTTTTAAATTTCCCGCCAAATTTTCCCAATCATGATGAACCAAGTCATTAAGATACAGGAAGTGAGTGTCAGTAAAATTCAAGGCATGGCCATCAAGCAGATTTGTGATATGATCGGATGTAAGCTTATAGTAAGCAGTGGAATTGTCAGCAAATAAATCATGAAACTTAACCTCAACATCCTTGTAGATTACATTACCATCTCTTAGTCTCGATCGATCATTTGCAGTCATGTCCTCAAACTTAAAGTTAGGCTTAGTAGTGAGCCACTGGCCCAAAATAACCGCAAAAATAATCGCAAAAATTGACAAAATTCCAGAAAAAAATAAAATTTTCTTAAGATTTAAAATTTTTTTGTCCTTTTTCTCGATTTCCTTCTCGTCACGTCTCTCGATCTCCGGCAGTGAGCTCAACATCTCAGGCACGACCTTCTTCTCGTAAAAGTCAAACAGCTCCGGGAAAATATGTCGCAGTTCCTTCAATCTTTCAGGATTTTCATGATAAAGTGCCATTAAATGTGGAACACGAACAATCAACTCTGCATGCTGCATCTGTGTTGGATAGTAATCATAGACCATATCGATGTATTCTTCATATCCAGTCCGTTCTTGACATCTTTTAGATATTTCCTCAAATTCCTGCATAGTCTGGTTGTCGTTCCTTAAATAAGGTTTTGCATTGTTGTTGTAAGTCAAGTCTATTGCATAATGACACAGCTCATGAGCTAAAGTTGAATAAGTTTCATACTTTGTAGCTTTATCTAACAGTTGCTTAGCTCCAACATAGACACGACCTGATAAATAGAACATCCCATTTATATTGGCATTGACTGTTGGATCAACAAATTGAACCGAGTCACGATTAAAGTCAAAGACACTTCGGAGCTTCTTTGATGCCACAACGACCATGAGGATGGCACTAAGGAATGGATTTGAGTTGAGGAATTTGTAAGCATTTTGGACATGCTCACGCTTCTCTTGATTATTTTGCACATCATGACCAACAAAGGAATGAGCCATTAAGATGTTGATGTGCTTCTCTGGCAAGTCCTTCAAGTTTCTGAAGTGAATTTCTCGAATTTGCTTTCTTTCGTGTTCTTTCAAGTCATCCCAAAGCTCTTCTTCGTCTTCTATTGGAGCAAATGCAAGCTTGTGCATGATCAACAGTTCGTAAATGTCAATTGATTTTGTCAAAATTGCAGTTTTTAAGGCTGAATCGTTCGCAAAGTTGTAAAAATATCTCTGATTTGGATACTTGCCGATAATTTCCTTTACTCTTTCAGTATTTTTAGCACCAATCGCGAAATGCAGTTCCTCAGTACTTACCATAAACTTCCTCAAGTCATCTGAACATAATCTAATGTCTATAGACTTTGGATACGGTAAATTTGCTTGCAAGAGTGTCAAAACAACGTTAGAATGATGATTGTCCCAAGCTAGTTCCTGTGCCTTAACAGATTCTTCTTGTGACTCAGGACTGATGCCCATTTCAAGGAGGATTTGAACAATGTCAGCAAATCCTGAAGATGCAGCAAGGAGAAGTAAGTTATAACCTCGAGTGTCAGTTAGGAACTCAAGTTCGATCTGGTTGTCATCTTGGGACACAATTCGGTTCCGTTGGATTCCTAAAAATGTGAGGAAATTGTTATTAAAATTGAAATGTTAAGCTTGCATTAAGTGCCATGGCTTGGTGGATTGGAAAGATCTTCAATGGAGTGTACTGCTTGAGAATAGGAGAAATAGGGATGAACCTGAGCAACTAGCCTCTAATCTTGACTTGACATAAACTAAATCTTGATCGAAGCAGTTCTTAGCATGAAATTCTAAGTTTAACTCACCCAAATGTCCCAGTTTCAAGCAAGACGTCAAAAAATCAGCAATAAAGTCATAAATTTCCCTTTTTTTCATCGTCATTGTCTCATCGTAAGGTTTAAATGCCAAAAAGAATGGAATTTCCCGTGACTTCCAATAAATTGAGAACCGATGACCTTTCATCGACTCCAACAGAATCACAATAGACTTTCCAGCACAATCATCGGCTAATTTAGTTATATCATTTCCAGTCAGTTCTCCAAAATCTTCGTCAATTAGAAATTTGATGAATAAAACACTTTCCGATTCTTTTAGTTGATCAATGATGCTGGGCGTGTTGAAAAAGTCAAGGACACTTGATAAATCTTTGCAGTTGAGGATCGTTAGTTCTTTAATTTCTACATGATTTGATACCGTTGATACTGAGTCAGAGTCACGGGAGATGATGTATGCGTCGTTGACTTGTGCTAGGAATGAAATAATTATTTATTATAAAATTAATTAATAACAGAGTTACTTTGCTGTTGGAGGAGAAAGGATGTGAAGTTGAATGGCTAACAATGTGACGTAATAAGAGTTTTTGTAGTAAGGGTTGCGATACAGGCACCTGTGCACAGGTCAGAACCGTACAATTCCTTGTTAATTTATAAGGGTTTTCTCACAAAACCATACAAATTGTAGTAAAACCTTACAAATTATCGAGGAATTGTACGGTTCTGACCTGTGCACAGGTTCCTGTATCGCAACCCTGCCTGTAGTCTCGTCTTGTATTGGGTAATCTTACAATGGAGAATGACAAGAGCAAAATCCACTTTGATAAGTTTCTCCTTAATCAATTCTATTCTTGAAAGCACATCTGACTGAACCTCACGAGCCGGTTACCAAAGCGAACTTAAGAACAACTATCTTGGTCACCATTTTACACTTTATCTAATCCTAGGTGTAGAACTCCTGAAAGCTCTTGACGAACTAACAATGCATGATTTGATAAGCATACACACTTAGTGTCCCTGCTTGCTTTATCTGTCAATAATTTAAACTAGTGCTAATTTGAAAGATTGCGATTGAATCATTTAATTATCATAATTAAGCAGAATAAAATAATCAGTAAGACTGACGCACAACCACAAACATTTGACGCTTTTAAAAACAAAAGTGAATCTTCTCTTTGACATTATGAATAAAATCTGCGTATGTGTTTAAAGTAATCTGTTAGGCAAATAAAGAAAGAATATTGACAAAAACCAGTTTGAAAACAGAGCTGAAGATACAAAATAATAATAAAATTTGCATAAATTTGAGACTTTTTATGGCCGGTGGACATCCTTTTCTGGGTTTTTTCGGAGAATTTTTTGGCTATTTATAGACATGATTTGATAATAAATTCAAGGACGTTGATATTGATTGCTTTTGGAATGTCATTTGAGGTCAGTAATTGATAATTTAGTTGAATGTTGATTATTTGGGTTTGGGAGGTGATGATTAATGCTGTTTATCTTTCAAGGCTGAAGGTCTGGTTATGTGCAATGGTGAACAAGTGAGAGAAAGAGACGAAAAGGAACAAAAGATCTAAGCTTGGTTTCTATAATAAAGGATGTAAATGAAAATTATCTGAAACCAGCATAAGATGCCCAAGGTAGCCCTAGAAATCGAGCTCTAATTAGCCATTGACCACTTTATCACAAACTAAACTCCACGATTAATCAAACAGTAATCAAAAAGTGATACTTACATTCAGTAGCTGTTGGAACCTGTAAGTTGACCTGATTTGGAGCACGGATGTTAAACAAGTTCCATGTTCGTTTTTGAAAGAAGTTCCGCATTTTTCTTTATTTTTTGAAGCTTAATAATTTTTAAGAATTATTAAAATTTCGTGGCTTAGCTGATATTAGACAATATTTCAGGTGATGCCATCGTCTTAAAGGTTTGCAGAAAACTGAGCTGTGAGAAATATTTAAGAATCTGCGAACTAAAAGAGAAGACAATGTCGAGACGAGTTTTATTAATCTTTTGAAAGAGATGAGAAAAATAATCTCTGAGCTGAGTTCGTATTAATCGGAAGCATTTAATGAATTTTAATTTAAAAAATAACACTATGAGAAAATGATTTTAAAATTCAAAATCATTTTTTTATTCACAATTTTAATGGCTCAAAATTTAAAGTTGGACACAAATATCACAAAGTTGGTTAATCAATCAGAAATCTGACACTAAGCCGATGTAATTCTCTGGATTGAAATCCAGAGACAAGCCGGCTTGTTAACTGATAAATAATAATAATAATGTGTGAAGGGCCCAGCCTTTTAGCTGGAGGCACTGCGATTCAAATTAGAACAGAATCTATTGTACCACACCCTTTAGACCTACAGTTTATAGTGGGATCCGAACCACTTGCAAGCTCTGCACATTGCAAAGACACGAGTACGTCATAAGACCTGATGTACCCTGCAATATATCTAGTCACAATTCGTGTGCTCAAGATGCCGTAAGGAAGTCATCCAGATGCTAGTATATCCTTGTATACCTAGCAAAGGAGGCAGATTCCAAAGACCTTAAAACTACACCCAACACACGAACCGAGCTTTGTTGCTGTTAACTGAAGTCATTGCACAAAATAGAAACTTCTTCATAAGTAAGATGAATCCTAGACCTGACAGGCGCGTAGCTGAGGAATGGGGGGGAAGGGGGGTGTATGGAAGATTTGGTTGACAAATCCCCCTACGTCAGCAGAAATTTCTTCATTTTGAAAGGGTTTTTTTTATTAAAAAATGCTAAAAATATACACCCCCCCCCCCCCCTTCGAAAATTTACCAAACGAAACTTTTGGGTCCTTCCATTCTTCCTTCATTTTCCTTGCTGCACCTCTGACTCAAAGCGTGTAGCCAGGAGGGTATTGTCCCCCTCTTAAGCGTTTTAGGTTGTGCTCTTGCTGCGGTTCAATACGTTTAAGGGAGGACAAGACCCTACTGGCTACGCGCCTGCCCCTGAGAACTGAGCTCAGTTTCTAGATCTATCATGGACACTTTAGAGTAAAAATTAAAATCGATGTACAAATAAACACCTTTAAAACAAAAATTTGACTTAGATTAAGGTAGGATGTGATGTGTGGCCCTTGAAAATGGGTTCTAGCGATGTTAAAATATTTTGTGTCACGTAATTTAATTTGAGCACTTTGCAATAAAAATTGAACTCCTCTATTTAATAGCTACAACATTCGAATTTTTTTAAGTGCGCCCTTTATTCATTCGCATTCTAAATATCATATTTCAATCCCAAACAACAAACAATGAGTTTGAGCACCATTGGTATAGTATGACGTCATTAGTGGCACCACATCTAAGAACAAAACATGCAAAATTTTATATTTCTTCTCAACGATTGTCTCGTCAACTTTTCCTTCTTCTTTTTCCACTCTCTCAATGCACAATAGAGGAAGAGAGCGAGAGAGAGAGAGAGCAAAGAGAGCCTTCTGCTTTTCATCCATCATCAGCTCATTTTCCTTGCCTTGCAAAACACGTGAGTCGATAATGTTTTGTAAACTGCGCATGAATTCTCTCCGTTCCAACACATCCACAAAGGCACAAAATGCCGCATCTGTTATAAATTTTATTTTATATATTTTTTTTCTCCAAAAAGTTCTTATTTTTCTGCTTCTCGGAGAATAATTTTTTTTCACAATTTTTTTTTTCAGCGAGAGAAAATATAAAAGTGAGCCTCAATTGTCAGCAGACGGTCGATACGGTAAGGAAGAAAAAGTTTTTTTTATTGAATTTCTTCCTTCGCGAATTTTTATTGTGAAGAGAAAATTAAAGTTTTAATGAATTTGAGGTTTTGAGGCTGAAAAGTTGGGATAAAAAATTAGGAATTTCAAAAAAATTGAGAAAAAAAAGATAATTTTTTTCACACAAAAGAAAGAAAGAAAAATTGAGTTCATTTACTCTAAAATTAGACCTTGCTAATTTAACGGCACAAAGGCGTGAATGATTAAAGGAAGAAAAAATTGTGTAACTTAGAAAAAGTAAAAAAGAATTTTTTTGTTAAAGAAGCAGTAAAAAATAAGAATTCGAGAGAGGAAGTCAGAAGAATAAGAAGAGGAAAAAAAATTATGGAACGATGATTTATACAAATTTAATACAACAATAAAAAAAAGTTAATTTGTAATACAAATGTGAGTATTGTGATTATTATTTTGAGTGAAATTTAAAGTTTTTCGTGGAATTAAACTTGACTGGAGTGCTGTGGATGAGTCTTAGTATACTTAATGACATGGAGTATGCTTTCAGGATTGCAGAACGCAGGCTGGAATGAAAATGTTGAGAATTTTTTTTACTTCTGTATAACTTAAGTTGTAAGAAGAAAATCAATTTTTACAGTGAATTCTCATTTTTATATATAATTTTTTTTAATGCAATAATCACGCGAGATTTGCAAAGTTTGGTTTGATTTTGAGGAGTGAAAATTAATTGTGTCATTTTCGTTGATGTCTTCCTGACATGCTGTATTCATGTTTTTACAGCTGACAGCTCCCAAAAAAATTATTAAACTATAAAAATCAATACTTTTGAATTTCTTGAAGCATTTTTTTTAAATTAAAAATTAATGATATCTGATGAACTCCTGCAAGTTGAGAATTATTCATGGGAGGGACTTATAGTAAGATAAATGTCAAGGGATTAGTCGTTATAAATAGAAGAACTGAAAGGATTTCTAAACAAAAAAAAAAGAGAGTCTTTAAAGTAATTCAATACGTGGCTTATAAAATTGGCGTTGCAAATGATCTTACTTAGCTAATTTGCTAGTCAAATAGATCAATTTTGTTCGATTGCCATTCTTTGGTGGTGCTTGCAGCTTGCTGACTCAACTTTTTGTCATTTTCTTTTACAATCTACAAAGTCAGACTTAAAGATTCTAAATAAATCAATTCAAACCTCTGGAGCTGAAGCTTTGCTTATCAATTTCCTTCTTTCACTTCGTTAAGTTATGTCTCTTGACACTGGACCGTATCTTAAGCCCGAATCTGAAATGATAAAGAGAAAAAAAATCCTTTACCTGTTCAGATCAATTGTTATCCAGAGGTGCGTTAGGGCTTATGGAGCTAATGACAGTTTAATGAGTGAGGATGCGCCAAACCAATACACTTAAAACTAGACCTACAGTTTAAAGTGGGATCCGAACCACTCCTTTGATAACATTGCTGCCTGTAGCCCACAAAAGAAGGCTGTGAGCCTCTTTTCCAATAATTAGGTACCGCAGTCCTAAACCATTCATGCACCTAGCCACTTCAGCTCACTAAAATGATAAAGATCACAGAAATATTAGACAGGTTCGATGGTTCCAATAAGTCCTTTTTATTATCTAACGTATCTTGTCAGCACGTGTGACTTGATATTATTTCTATATTTATTTTAAAAAATCAATTTTTCAGACTGATTTTTGGTTTGTATCTGAAAAAATTTAATAATATCAAGTGTAAACTTTCTGAATATATTCCGACCCCCAAATTTTCGCATCTGGTCCAAAAGATAATAATTCAAACCATCGGCAAAAATTCTCCCCGAATTAGCAATGTAAAACATCATTTATCAACAGTCTCACATTTTTAGGGCTGAAATTGAGACTTTTTTAAAGGGCTCGATCACTTATTACATTATGTAGACCTTCCTCCTCCCCCAATGCCTGATAACAAATTTCGTATTGAAATTATTTTCATGTGTTTAAGCTTTTACTTAATTCTAGGCCAAATCTACCTTAAAAAGCGAACTTAATAAGCTTTTCTGTCATTAGTTGATGGGCAAACTAATGCAAAGTGGCTCAAAATGTGTATTCTTGCTCCATAGTACTTATAATAATTTTTAAGTAATAGCTTGAGAATGATTACAGTAACTAAGCAATTAAAACTTGAATTTCTTAACCGTAAAGCAACTCAAACTCAAGTTTCTCGATAATTCTGTTAATAATTTTCCATCATTGCTGCAAGAAAAAAGATGTTATGATAATTATTTCAATTAGAGGAACAACCAGAGTTCTTAGTAAAATTGGAAAAGATGGACAAGAGGCTCATTAAAGATGCAAAAGATTGAGTTAAATTTTGTGATTCTTTTACAGAAGTAAATGTCAGGTTTTGGCTTAAATGACAATCATTCTCACTCCGACTAAGTTCTTAGTCATGATTTTAATGTCAAGTTATCTAGAAAATTCCAGTAAAATTCCCATTCCCATTAAAAACAGTAAAAACAACTTCTCGAACACAGCTCCAAAGTAATTCCAATACTCACGCATTAAATTAACCGGTTCATTATGGAAAAAAATTAGCAGTCTAAAAATTCCAAGAAAAACTTTTATAATTTCACTACAAAATCTACAATAATTCTCGAAAGTAAAGAAAAACCTTTCATTTAAAAATCATTAACCACAGCGAAGATAAGAAGTCGGAAACATCATTTATGTCATCGAACTGTGAAGAACTTCTGGAGGTGAAATAAGAATTTATAGCGAAAAGAGAATCAGAAGAAAAAAAATAATAAACATTTTCTGGATGTATGCGAGTGATGTTCTATGAATTTCAATCTTATTTTTTTGATACACGGCAAACAGATCTAGTCAATTGTTGAGACTGTCTTGTGCGATATTTTGTGTTTTGATCATCTTTGTTGATACTTGTGGATGTGTGTATGCAAATTAACTGCAAAAATAACAAAACTGAGTGAATTTTGAATAGAATTTAATTCAAATTTTAGTGAATTTTGAAGTAAAAATTGAGATATTTAAAAAAATTTAAAAAAAAATTGAGAAAAAAATATTTTAAAAAAGTGACAAATTAAAAAAAAATAAAAACGTGAAAAAATATCAAACAAACTTTTAAAAACAATTCAAAAAGACATAGAAAGTGTTAAGAAATTGGACACAAAACACGTGGAAGGAATT